ATCAAACTTCAATTAGTATGCTTATTATTATTTATTTGAATATTTGTTTAAAATAAGTAAATTTGCTTATTTATCTTATTTCTACTTGTGTACTTCAAAATAAAAAATAGAAGTATTTTGGAGTAAATAGAGTATATAAAAAAGAAAAAATAACAGAAATTTAAACTGCACAAAGTAAAAGAATATAGCAGGATAGAAGAAAACAAAGAAGTGAACAAGCTAGCAAAAAAAGAAGCAAGATCAAACAAGATTATCAAAATATGGCTACCATAGACCAAGTTGATACATGTAGTATCTAGATAGAAAGGGATAATAGTAGACAGGCTTATCAGAAGTTTTGTAAACTTAATCACAATAGCGATATTAAATACAAAATAAGCAGAACTAGGCAGTATAAAAAGATGGGGTTAGAGAGGAAATAGGGCTAGTTTAGATTAGAGAGAAATATAGAAATATATAAAAGGGATTAAGAATAACAAATATTTAGATAACAAAGCAAACAATAGATAGATATTTAGAATTAAATGTTTGAATGGAGTACTGCCCACAATGAATAAGCTGAAAACAAGAAAACCAGACTTGTACAAAATCAACAAGTGCATCACTTGCTAAGAAAAACCAAAAACAATAGATTACTTAACAAGCTGTGAAAAATATTAAGATATATAGAGTATAATAAAAGAAAAAACTTGTAACAAAATAGAGAAAATTATAAAGAAAAAAAGCTTATTAAAAGGATATCAACTAAAGTTACAATAAAAGAAAACATATTTAGTACAACTAATACAAAGCAAATAGAAATGAAAATCTATATGATTAGAGGTCTAATTAAGAGAAAACAAAAACAAAAAATAAAAAATATACTCCAAAACAGAAAAGCAGCCAGCAAGATAATAAGTGTAGTACTCAACAAATTCAATAAGAAATTTCATCAGCATATCTGAAATTTTAGATATGAGCTACAAATAGAATAGAAAAAAAGAAAAAAAAAGAACAAGAAGATAAAGAACTGCAGCAAAAAAAAGAAGAAAAGAAATAAAGAAGACCAAGAAAATAAAAAAAAACCAAGAGGGTATGGTGACTTAGAGTAGTGGTTAAGTTTTTACACTCCAAGTAGCAGGTCTAGAGTTTGAATCCTATCAGAGACGTTTTTAAAAAAAATAGGCTTATATACTATTAATATTTATTTAAAGATCAGTTGGATATATTATCTATAATCTTGATACTACTATCTTAAAATGGACTCTTGGGCAATTCAAATCCAAGAGACTGTAATAATTAAAACCTGTTTAGCAAGACCCAAGCAAGAAGATAGTAAAAATCTTTGATGATACTGCAAAAAGCTAGAACTGAAAACTGAAGAATTGGATGAAAATCTTAGAGCAAAAAGGATCCACCAACCTGGTCACCAAAGTTGTATTGAAGAAAAAGGACCTATGCTACAGAATTAGGAACCAAGAGAAATAAAACTGGAAAGCATCTAAAGCTGAGGTACAACAACCCATCTGGGCTAACTGGTTTAGTAGTTTAGAAGAAATCAGTTAAAGAACTAGTTGATATAGGTATCAGGATCAGAATGAACTTTGTAAAAGCACTGAATACTAAAATTATACAGTTTAATGGTTCACTCTGACTGCTAGTAGTGGTTTCAGCTACTGTGAAAGGTATTTGCAGCTTAATCTGGAAATGTGTATAATATAGAAAGATTAGAGGATATGTACTACACCTCCCTAGAGCAATCTGGTAGTATGTGAATCCTACTAGGTTATCTATAGAATTAGGGCACAAGTAGTATAGCAGATATCAATCTGAGTGGTTTTCAATAAGAAGCAACACAAGGTTATGTGTTGGTGTGATTATAGTAAGTAATACAAAATAGAAGACAACAGAGAGTTTAATTAAATAACTTAAATAATAGTAGGTTATAGGTACGGCATCTAGTATAGAATCTAGTAATAAACAGCTACTTAATTGGATGCTCAAAAGGTGCAAGTATAGTTAAAATGTACTCTTATTAACCAAGAATATACTATCTAAAATACCTAATAAAATCTGCCTTTATATGACATTGTGAAGATTTTAAAAAAAAAAAAAACCAAAAGCAAGCAGAAGAGTAGAAAGATAAGAAGAGAAAATGTATAAGAGTTGTAGTATTTAATAACATAGAGAATTTAATATAAGATAGTAAAAAATTAAATTCAATATTTAACAAAATACTCAGGAAACTCTTTCTGCTGATCTACAAATTACAACCTGATTTTATTTGGCTATAAACTAAATCATTATTTTTCTTAAGAACTAGTATAAGAAACAAGGTTTCTTGTATTAGTGTAAAAGAAAGAGCACTAAAAATAATCTTTAGTTTATTAAAGTAGCTTTTTACAAAAACTTTAAGGCTAGCAACAAAAATAAGGCCTTCGAAAATTTTTAGAAAATTTTTAGAAATTTTGGAAAAATTGGCTAGACTCTGAAAATCTAATCTTAGTGATGCGTAAATAACAATAACAAAACAAATACATAAGATCAGATAATAAAACAACAAAAGTAGATCATGTTATTTTTTAAATACAACAAAATAACAAAACAACAAACAATTTATATAACAAATAGCAACAACAAACCAAACAACAAATGTGACTAATACTTGCAAGTTATAATAGACTCTTATTGAAGAATTTATTACAGTAAACATAGACTCTACAACAACAAGTTTGAATTTAGCTTAGATATAGAAAAAACTAAAATTAGATTTAGCAGATACTAAAATGACAGCCTTAAAGAAAATTAAGGATGTCTTTGCACTGCCAGAAAAACAACAACAAGAAATATATAATGCACAAAAAAGGTTTATCCTTCAAACAGACAGAAGCATAGCAAAGTTTCTAGGATTAGAAGACACAAAAATTATATCAGTTTTGCATATAGTACTAGATAACTATAGAACAGCTTTTCAAAAATTCTCAAAAGGAGATAAATTAAATACCAAAGAACAAGATTTAATTGGTTTAGATCCAAAAACCAAAACAATTGACTTGAAAAGACACGCTGAAAAAGACTTCAAAAAAGAAAAAAATTTACGCTATTGGAACCCAAGACAGAGAAAAGGAAAATCTCACTAGTTCTACTAATGCCAGTTAGAATAGTAGTAGAAAAACCTATAGCTCAACTAATCATCCACAAAGTAACACAAAAAAGAAAATACACAGTTATAGAAAAGACCAAGAAAATAAACAAACAAGAACCAAAACCCAAACGACAAGATAATAATATAGATAAAATTGCAGAAGCAATTTTAAACGAGTCAGAAATAGAAATCTTAAAAAGCTCAGACAATGAAAAGCTAGAGGACGAAATCATTCTATTATATGCAGAATGTGAAACATACGATGAGGGCATCAAGGAAACAAAAGACCTTGTACTGTTAAGACATAATAAAAGAACAATAGAAGCCCCACCTAGAAAAGAGAAGAAAAAGAAATACAATGTTATACTGGAAGATATACATAGATCTAGATAAGCACCCAAAGATATTAATAAATCAATCTGGGCACCTGAAAATAGAATCAAGGAAGAATCTTCTAAAGGGAAAGCACCCAAAAATCTGGCTAAAGATGAGGGGAAAACATCTA